ACACACACACACACACACACACACACACACACACACACACACACACAAACAAAAGAGTTTCATTCCCAAATAACAGTGGCTAAGCGCTCGCAGTAGTTCTCGTTGATTGTTTTTTGCCGATCAAGTTGACCATTGGTGAGTAGAACCTGCTCTGTTTCTCTCCACACACATGCATTGGTTCAGAGGTAGTGTGTCTGACGACATGAGCCGACTTTATGTAACTTCCAGTTTCATGTCTGGAAGATTGACACGCAGCTGAAAAGACAAATAACAGGTCATTTTGATCTGACTGATTATTAACATTAAATATAAACACAGAGGGGATGGCCCCGGACCGAAAGGATTAGAGTCGGTACACGCATCGAGACAGCTTTTACAATATTTTAAAACTTTATTTTTGTTTAATACTAGTACTTTTTTTGATAGAAATGTATTTTAGCAGATGTTTATTGAAGGGATGGAGTGTTTTTGGAATGAAACCCTTTAAAATCTGTACAGGTATTGACTAAATCTAGAGTGTATAACCCATTTCTTTTTTCCATGAGTAAGATGAAAATGATCTTAAGCGCCTTCCAATACTGTACGTGGAAACAAATAATTGCCTTTGGCAACATGGTAGTCTACTACTGTATGCATCGCTGAGTAGGAATGTCGTATTGTTCGCACTTTGTATAGATAAGGTAGTTTTCTTTTACTCGGAACAGTTCCACACACACATCTCATTGTTCACGCGTCATGGGCTCCAGACATATCGTTGAGTCGCATTAACGGGCCTTAGACTTGAAATGGTAAAACGGTGAATTCATCTCAGTGGTTCAGGGCTCATTTTAAGGAATCGCCCCTTTAACCACACCTGGTGCTGGAGCAGACCACGGTGCTGCTGGCGTTGATGTTTCTTAAATGAGCGTATTTTCAAATGCTGATGTTCAGAACTGGCACCACACACACCTGTTTGCAGCAGTTCTCATAACCTGTGGGACCTCGTTGGAGGAGGCCATGTCTTTTTGTTTGCCTCATCAGGCTGAAACTAAATCCGATGAGCCATTAAATCGTCCCAGAACTCCATTTCCTTTGTCTCTGAACAGCTGTTGTTGGAACCTGCACATGTAGGCTGGATGTCCTTTACTACCAGACGCTGCAGGCTTTATTTCCTTTACAGTAAACAGACAGAATGCTGCTGATGCTGGCCGGCCTCGTTTTGAACAATCAGCATTATCATTGTAGGATTACCCATAATGCAACTGCAATAGCCATACATTAGACACCAGCACAGGGTATGTTTTTAATGAATGAATGACTTTGGTTATGCCATTATAATCCAGCCATTAGTAAGTACTTTAACAGGAACATCATCTTTGACTTCTAGATGTTTCTCTGTAGCATCGACCAGGTTTACATTTGTTCTCAGATGCTTTCAGAGGGAACAGCGCTCCATTTAAACACGCATGTGTGTCCTTTCAGTAGCCCGTCCGTGGTCTGAGCAAACCAGCAGCCTTCATGTGCCTGGCTTTGAGTGTGGGAGGTTGTTTTAGGTCAGAGGTCAGCGTTGGAGAGCAGGCAACATCTCGTGATGTCACAATGAGCTGGAAGGAGACAGTCGGATAGCAAGTCGAATGCTACGAACAATATCTGATATTATTTGTAATTAACAAGTTCATTCAGCAGTTCTGGCAGGTAAATATGATGACAGATTTAACCCAAATTCTAAATGTACTTACTGTTAAACAGCTCGGAGTCCTAATAGAGCCATAGAAATATCCATTATGAATAAAGACAGAATGTGTTTACTCCTCGCTCTGTCGCCCCAAACCTTTTGGGACTCTCTATACTCGTTATTAGAAATGTAGCGGCTACTGCCACGGACCGCATAGATAACATACTGCTGTTTAAATGTGCTGCTGCTCTTTTCTACTTCTTATAATCGATCAGGAACCTGTGTGTGGCAGGATGGTTGTCTGTCATTGTTTGCCTGTTTTTAAAGTCCGTCGTTAAGTTGCATTGTAGAGCTTCATCGCGCCGTTACTCCTCTGCGCCGGTCCTTTACTCCACACCGGTTGGACCACATGTAGCGAACATCCGGTGCATTTGGACTTTAGACATTTTCATGTCGTTCTTTGGGGGCAATGTAAACAAGGATCAGTAGACAACATCTGTATATTGCTGATGATATTTAAATAGAGGTCCAACGGAACCTTTTTGTGACGCTAATGACTGAATGAATGAACATTTCTCTCTGTACACAACTTAAAGCTGAACTTGTAACTTAAAGCGGCAGCCTGTTCTCCCAACCACTCCTCATCCATAACTGTGTTCATAGCCACCGCATTGCCTACATTACTCTTTTGTATCTACGACATGATGAGTCGGCTCATTCAGTACGCAGCGTGGTGGTGGTGGTGGTGGTGGTGGAGTCTAAATTCTGTAGTGTGTTGTAGAGCTGAAATAACAATCCCAGTGTCACCGTGGTCCTGTGTTATGGCACAGGAACTTAGAATACAATCGTGGTAGAGCAAGAACCGTCTCATTTATCAATTCCACTGAAGAAGCGGAGGTTTGAATTATCAAAGAGAGCTCCATCGAAGACCAGACGAGTGCTCTACTATACAAACCACATAAATACGTCCAATTGATCCAAAGACCCGTCAAATGAAAAGGAATCATCATCTCTACAGAATCCATTTCCCTTTCTAGCGTTCTTCACTGCAGTTATTCTCTGTTTTGTTTATATTCTTTGTTAATGTACAAAATTCAGAATGATCATTAAGGAATGCAATAGTGCATGAAAACGCTAATGCATGCATTTCATTAACTATGCAAGAGGCTGTGTAAAGTAGAGCATGGCTGTGTGTTCACTGCTTCATTTGCACACCATTCCAATATTAAGACATTGTAAATTACAGAATATTTCATCTGTACAGTTAAAAAGATTCAACTTAAAAATATGTATTTAATGCCATCGCTTCTTTGAGCATTCTACCATGTAATGTTTAGGGGATATCTATATATATATATTTCTTTCTTTTTTATTATTTGTTATAATTCTGCTGATCTGTGCTCTCTGGGTGCTCCTACCAAACTGGTAGGTTCTGATCTTTGTTTCTTTATAACTGCTGTTGTACACCAGCAGAGACAGCACTATGGGTGTGATGCTCTCTGTGGTGACTCAATAGCCTCATGTATGTGTGTGTACAGTGAAAAGCCCTCATTAATGCAGTGCTAACACTGTGTGAACCCCCTGTTGAAATGTTCTCAACTGCATCAAAGATGTGTCCAGTCTCCACTATAAAGGCAACTCAAATAAATAGGTGTGTGTGTGTATGTGTGTGTGTGTGTATGTGTATGTATATATATATATATGTGTGTGTGTATATATATATATATGTGTATGTATATATATGTGTATATGTATATATATATGTATGTGTGTATATGTATGTGTATATATATATATATAGATAGTACGTTTTTAGTTTTATATTACAGTATGTAATGAGCAATGACATTAAAATGTGAATGTTCAGTTAAAACGTTTTGTAGTATTAATGCCAAGTCAATCATTGCAATCATGATGTGATTTTAAAAAAAAATATTCTTTATTCAAAACCGTCAGTGAGTCAGAAATCAAGCGTGCTTAAAGCAGCAGCGCTGTTTAACAGGTGAAGGAGCATCGCTCTGAATGCAGAGAACACGCTAGTTAAGAGGAGAGAATCCTGCACGTTGAGTTATCGTTCTGTTTACAGAGTCACACAAGTTCCACTTGTTCACGGTGGAACGATAACACATGACATTATCTGCAACATGTTTGTGTCATTTTACCACTGAATCAAAGTTGCAATAACCACTGAAATACCAAAATCCTTCAGATCCTGTAGTACTACAGCAATACAGCGGCGTGTTGTCCTTCTTATTTAAAGGACTCTTTTTCACACGTAAACACTACAAATGAATAATACTGAAACTCGTCGGCAGCCTCAAGCGAAACGAACCGTGATGATAGTTTGTGTCTTTCTGTGTGATGAACGAATGTCACGAGTCTCACTTTAATGTTTCCTAAGCTAGCAGAGTGCTACATGCACAGCACGGCTCCACTTTGACCTTTCAGTCTTCTACTTGTGATTTTATGTATCGCTCATATTGCATTTTGTAAGATGCATTTATTGAGATTGTTTTCACGGATGAATGCTGTTTTACTGTATGTCTTGCACCAGGTTCAGTTTCTTTAAATGTTACATTAGGGCCTCTGTTCTAGCATTCGCCTCTTCATTTCAAAATGTTTTTTCTATTTTTTTACGAGCTGAGCAAAGTGTTTGACATTCATAGTTTATTAGAATGGGTCAAAATCTTCAATGTTAATTTATTTCTCTTTTGTTATCATGTATGCACTTTTCATTTTTATTTTTGTCCACCAAAAGGACAAATGTGTACAGACTTTATTGGTTTATCAATGCAAGTACAAAATGAAAAATCTGATTAAAAATGTTAAAAGGTTTGAGTGGTGTCTTGTCATTAAGCTTTGTTTGTGTGTGTGTGTATTCATTCAGCCACTAGAGGGAGCGTTCCTCTAACAAACTGTCCTCCAGCTTGCCTCCATACAGCAGGCAGCTCTTGGGTTTCTTCACAGAGACTCACCAATGCAGCATGAACACAAACACACTACAGTAGAATTAACATTGAAGTTACACAAAGCTCTGTGTGTTACGATTGCCCAGCCTGAGATTGATTGATGTCAGAGAAGCCGGTAATGAGTAACCACTCCACAGTGGGCTCAGTTCTCAGATCTGCGAGACTGTCCACAGTCTGTCTCCATAAAGGCGTTTGTATTTTCACAGCTGTCAGATGGTGCACTGTTGCAGCATGAGGCACATTTTTGAAAGTGTTTTTATTCTTAATGTGCAAAGATCGCCCTTTCATCTCGTTTAGATCCAAGCAAGTATGAGCACACGAATCCACTGCTCATTGTCTCGCTGCTGCAGAGACCTCAAGGCTGTGT